AGAGTACACCTCTGATTCAAAAAAAAGGTCTCCATTCAGATTCAGAAAACTTCAAAGAGATCAGTCTCAGGCCAAGGACTGACAGCTCTTCATTCTCACTTTGGAGCTATGATCTTGTGCCTTCAGCCAGCCCTGACCTGGAGGGCTGCTCCAGGGTCAGCATTCTGGCTGCCAGGAGGCAGGGATCCATTAAAATCCACCATCAAGTTTTGGTGCCCATTCATCTTGGCCTCCTTTATGCTCATGCCCTAAGCATACTGAAACTAACCATTGGGAGAAACCCACAGCATTAAAAATTCTTTAAGAGCAGTTTTTGAGTGGAATTTTAAGGATTATGTGTTACCTGTCAATTTTTCACCTTTTCCACTCCAGCTGTTCCTGCACTGATCCTTACCTCCACATTCTGCTTTCTTAGTGTAACTTCCTTCTGAAATTAATTGGAAATTCAGTGAGAAGCAGAAATCCTTGGCTGAACATGGCTAACTTAGTCAAAGCAAGGCTGCTCCATGGATGGACAATCCCCAGTGGTTTCTAGAGATGAACACTAATCTTGCTTTAGTAGACTTCATTTGTACAATTAATCACATTGTCACTTGGGGCTTAGTGATGCAGTTTGCCTTCGATAAGGGCCGGATACTTCAGCTCCTAATCTTTCCTGGTTTCCCTAGTTTAACCGAATGTACTTGAAGCCAAAGTTAACGTGCTAACTTCCTGTTGTGTTGGTTGTGGGTGGTGGTGGTGGTGGAAGGCTATTGCTTTAAATCCATCTTCAGATTTTGTGTGTGGAAAAAAGAAAGTTTGCTTATTTCCAACTATGACGTTGTGTTGATCCATGCTATCTGTAAATTGCTGGTGTAGGTTTAATGTGAAGTTGTATTTGGGGCACATGATGTATTTGATGTATGATCCCATTGTTTGGAATGATATACTTTAAAAAAAAATTTGAAAAGCAGAGCAACAGAGAGAGAGTGACAGAGGGAGATGGGGGAGAAATGGTGGGGTGAGAACTCCTATCTACTGGTTCCCTCCCCAAATGCCACAACAGCCAGGGCTGGGGCGGGCAGAAGTCATGAGCCCAGGACTCACTGGGTATCCGGGAGCGTAGCAGAGACATGTGAACCATCATGGGCTGCCTCTCAGGGTGTGCATTAGTAGGAAGCTGCATCAAAAGTGGAGCCAGAACTTGAGTCTAAGAATCTGGGATGTGGGCATTCCTTAACAACTGTGCCACAATACTCACCTTCCACTCCCTCCCTACTCCCTTCAAACAATAAAAGAGAGCCCTTGGAAAGACCATTTATTTTAAGATTTGTGTTACTGATCAAGGAGGGGAGGGCTGGAGCAAGTCTCATGGGTTCTTTTCCTCAGCTTAGTATAGAAATAAAAAGCCAGGAAATGGCCTATGCCATGGCTCACTAGGCTAATCTTCTGCCTGCAGTGCCCAAACCCCGGGTTCTAGTTCCGGTCGGGGCGCCGGATTCTGTCCCGGTTGCCCCTCTTCCAGGCCAGCTCTCTGCTGTGGCCCGGGATGGCAGTGGAGGATGGCCCAACTGCTTGGGCCCTGCACCCCATGGGAGACCAGGAGGAAGCACCTGGCTCCTGGCTTCAGATCGGTGCAGCACGCCGGCCATAGCAGCCATTTGCGGGGTGAACCAATGGAAAAAGGAAGACCTTTCTCTCTGTCTCTTTCTCTCATTGTCTAACTCTGCCTGTAAAAAAAAAAAAAAAAGCCAGGAAACAATTTGCTAAGAAGGAGAAAGTATTTGATTGGCAAGTGACAGAGAAAACTTTGGGTTCAGAGTGCTCGAGTGGGACACTGGCTTTGAGGAACTATCCCGGGTTTTCTTAAGGTGTTTCTATCTGTTTAGTGGGTTATCCTATTGGGGGTGCTCACTGCACAGGCGGTTTCACATATGTATGTTGATTGGCTTGGGGCTCATGGTGATAGCGGGAGTCTCCTGGAGACTGTCTCCTTAGGGGCTTAGCCCCCTCCTCTGCTAGCTTTGGGAAGAAGAGTACAACTAACTTGAAGGCATGGTTTAAAACTACAAGGTCACACAAGATAGCCAGGGTCTCCTAGAGTCAGTCCGACTCTCCCCAGGGGCCCAGCCCCTTCCCCTGCCAGCTGTGGGTGAAAGATTCCACCCACCCTGAAGGTGGGATTTAAAGCTGCAAGGTCACACATGAAGCTATTAGTGGGGGAGATGCCAGTTGGTCTGGAGACGGGCTTTCCAGCCACAGCTGGCAGCCTGCTTGTGAGGGACCTTCCACCTGTGTCTGAGAGGCCCACAGACTCCCAGCGCCACTGGCCGGCCTCAGTTTTTTTTTTTTTTTTTTTTTAATATCCTTCCCATTCTAAGAAATTCTGAGTTCAAAGTATTTCCCCCCCCAACCTTGTTTTTAAAGACTTATTCATTTATCTATTTGAAATTAAGGATTACAGAAAGGGAGAGAGATCTTCCATCCGCTGGTTCACTCCCCAGATGGCCACAAAGGGCCAGGGCTGGGCCAGGCCAAAGCCAGGACTTCATCCAGGTCTCCTACATGGGTGGCAGAGACCCTAACAGTGGGGCCATCTTCCAGTGCTTTTTGCAGGCCATTAGCAGGGAGCTGAATCGGAAGTGGAGCAGCTGGCACAGATCTGGCACACATACGGAATGCTGGTGCTGTAGGCAGTGGTTTTACCCTCTAGGCCACAATGTTTTATCTGTGTCATTTCTTTAAAAGCTGCCCACCCTAAGGCATATTTGTAGCATTCCCTGTGGGATTCTAAGCATCTTGACCATAGGGACAAGGGTGTCTAATTCTTTAAGTGCAAGACCATGTTGAGCTAATAGGTGTTCAGTAAACACTTCTTGAATATAAGTTGACTATTAAAGCCTACACATGCAGGTTGAAGGGTCTTTACCTTCAGTCTCTACCCCCAGTTGCTGTTTAATTGGCTTTTAGCTGGAACTGATTGATAGACATGAAGACCTTTTTTTTTTTTTTTAAGAGAATTGGCAGCTATGTAAATACAGCACTTAACCTTAGCACTCAGCCATTAACCTTGATCACTGCCCATTAACCTTAAAGCACCCCAGGTTTCTCCCCTTACAATCCCCCAAAACAGACACCATTCCATGCAATCTTTAGCCTGAAAACACAGCTTAGTAGAATGTTTTTATTGTTCTAGAAGTGGCTATAAAAACGAATTTTGAAAAAGAACATTTGACTATTTATTTTTCTACATCCTAATTAATTGTCCAGGTTTCCAAAGAAAACAAATAGATTGGAAAGGTATTTTGAGGACCATGCTAGGATAATTTGATAGGAGAAAGACTGGACAATGCTTTTTAAAACTGAAATTTTATGTAGAGTTGACAATTACAAGGGTAATAGATTCAACTCAAGCTCCCAGAATTGTGAAAATTAAATTAGCTTTTGCTATAGTCATTGCTAAAATCATATATTCATTCCAGACGTGTGGTAACAAGTCATTATATTAAGAAGAGACTGCTTAAAATCTTTTCTCACTAATGTCTGATTGTAACAGTAAAAAAAGAGAAACAAAATTTATTTAAAATATCACTTTAGATTTGCTGTTGTATTCATGTTCATAGATATAACCAATCTTGTTGAAACAATAGCTCACATTTTCACAACCCCTCGTAGTCCATAAATTCTATATATATTTTTTTTTATAGGCAGAGTGGACAGTGAGAGAGAGACAGAGAGAAAGGTCTTCCTTTCGCTGTTAGTTCACCCTCCAATGGCCGCTGCGGCTGGCTCGCTGCGGCCGGCGCACCGCGCTGATCCGAAGGCAGGAGCCAGGTGCTTCTCCTGGTCTCCCATGGGGTGCAGGGCCCAAGCACCTGGGCCATCCTCCACTGCACTCCCTGGCCACAGCAGAGAGCTGGCCTGGAAGAGGGGCAACTGGGATAGAATCCGGCGCCCCGACCGGGACTAGAACCCTGTTTGCCGGCGCTGCAAGGTGGAGGATTAGCCTAGTGAGCCGCGGCGCCAGCCCATAAATTCTATATTTTCTCTTGCAAGTTTCATATAAAAAACTATATAAAATAATAAATGCATGTGATGGCAAAGAGCGAATCTCAAGTGTTACTATATTCCAATTTATTGTGTATTTGTTTGATATCAAGATCTACATCCACTACATGTGGACGTTGGAGAATAACATTTCAAAGTTGCAAAAAGTTCTGTGTGTGATTTTCTGGGTGAACGCAGTGACTCCTGTGGTTCCCACTGTTTGGGAACATGTGCATCTTAGGGCCACGTAGAGTAGAGTAGCGAAGGGGGTGGGGGCAGGAGAAACAGCACCAGCGAATGGGGTGGGGGCAGGAGAAACAGCACCTTGCTATCAGAGAAGCAAGTTGACAGTAGCGGACTGATTATGTTCAGATTTGCCCAGTGCTCCGTTTTGCTCCACGTTCCAGAGGGAGCTGACACAGAAAGTGGGAACACCTGGGGGCGGGGGAGGGTCTCTGTTGCCACTGAGGTTCAAGCTATACGTTAACAAACGTGAAATCTCACCGGGAAAACAAGTGTAACATCATTACTGGTACAGTAGGAAGACTCACTCAATGCCAGGCTGCTTAAAATTTCGTTACCCAACTGAGAAGGAAGGGGACTAAGAGAGTGACTTAGCAAAAGAGAGGTCTGTAGAATAAGCACCAGAAAGCCAAAACGATGCAGTACATCAGTGACTTTCAGACAGACCCTGCTCATACGTTCATCCCACTCAGCAAGCACCTTCACTCGTCAGGCATCCATGCACTGAGGACAGTCTCGGAAGTACACAGAGGCTGAGACCACAGTAATTCACTGTTGCACTTTCTATTTAGTAGATTCCTCTCCATAGAATGTAAATCACTAGACCATTCATGTTCTTCTCACTCAAGCTGATGAAAAAATACATGCAAATTTAGCTCAGAATCTAAGCAAAGAAGTGGAAGTAAATTTCTGTCCATCCTTGTCAGATATCTTCTCCAATCCATGCATTTTTTAATATGGAATGCTTCATGAATTTGCATGTCCTCCTTGCACAGGGCCATGCTGATCTTCTCTGTTTTGTTCCAATTTTGTATCTGTGCTGCTGAAGCGAGCACATGCAATTGTTTATCTGAGTGACGGTGCTTGAAGAACTGTGTCACTATGCAGATACATGAAATTCGTTTACCTCAAAACATTTAAAAAGAACTAAGTTATTTCAGAAATATTGTAGATGATTTCTGTTGTTGAGACAGAGATGTACACTAAGGATGTAGTTTTGGATTCTTTTACAAACAGCAGCAGGTACTCTAGAAGACTTTACTTACAAAACAACAGCTACTTCTTTTAAACAGTACAAGTATTAGTGTTGTCAGAGATGAGACAATGGAAAGCTGATCAAAATGTTATCTTAATCGTTCCTTCAGAATTTAGGAATAATTAGAAATAATAATTTCTTGTAATGAACAAGAAATATTCATAATAGCATAGCTACGAGCCAAGGAGATCTTATTGATGCCACGGGAGTCAGTGTGTTGCATTAGGTTCTCAGCTGTAACTTAAGGAACCCAGACTACACACATTATATGGCCTTTTCCAGGGCTGTGTTCTCTCCACTTTTACTGTCACATTTCGATATTTTTACCAATCTGATTTACTACACGTAAAGGAACACAAGATTCTGTTTTATTCATGAAATGCTTCAATAGCAAAACAGTATACCTGGTATGGATAAAAGATAGAATTTTTGGTATATTTTAATCTTTTCATTCAGGTACCTGAATGCCTGGCATGTATTAGTCAATCATGTTATTTGTTGAGTAATTAACATGACTGATGGCTCTACATTTGGGCTATAGGCAAACTAAAAATATTTATATGGTAAGTCTTTGTACCCTAGCCCTAGGTTCTAAGGACATAAAACGTTTGTGGAAATTGAAAACTGCTCCCATGAGCATTGTGTCTTTCCAAGAAATCTGACTTTATTTGCATGTTTCATCAAAATGTATTTCAATCTGGATTCATGTGAAATCTATAGATGAAGCCCTACCAGAAAAAAAGCAGCTGTGAAATGAACGCTGCAGGGTGGAGGGTCTTCTAGAAGCAAGCGGGGAAAGGTGTGGCCAGTCCCACCTGCGTGTCTTAGGGAAAACAGAGCAGGGACAGCCCCCTGTGTTCCAGCGCACATCATCTACAGTCGACGCAGAATCTTCTCGGCAATCATTTCTTACAAACTATCAGGGAAAATTTAAGAAAATATGATGCCTCCTACTTTTTGACTAAATGCCCAGGTTACCCGTTCTGTTCATTCTCTTCCTTAAAGACTTGGAAGTCATTTTGATCTTATTTTTACCTATAAAACAGGTTGGTTAGAGTGTCAACCCCAACCCCACAGTCTGTGCCAGCAGCCGTGTGACTGCTGTTCCTACTTGAGATTGCCTCCAGCATTAAAGGGAAATGCTGTCCGTTTCATGTGAGTTTTTAATGTTAAAACTGCAAGCCAGCAAATCACCACCCCAGCAAAACCAATGACAGGAAACAGCAGAACCACTTGTCACAGTCACACACACCCTCACACCCTCACAAAGGCACACATACAAGTAGACATGAAACACAAACCAACTGTGTAGATCCCCTCTCTGACAATGCATTATTACAGGGAGATTTCAGGTTGCATGTGCACAGAGGAAAAAAAAAAGGCCCCACATTCTCCAGGGAGCGTGAAAGGGGCTGTTCCCCCGCCCACTCCCAGCCCTGGTGCTCCTGGGACCCAGCTCCTGCAGGGGAGGGAGCAGGAACCCTGGCGCCACCAGCCCATCTGAGGCCTTCAGGAAGAAAAATGATGTCACAGGCGCTGCACCAGTGTTTTTCTCCTCTGCATCTCCGCTCTGCCAGTTCCTTGAAGGATTGCGCTTGCTCTCACAGCTGCTCTCCACCGTGTCAAACCTCTGACATGTCCTCTCCCCACCGGCCCCCAGCTCGCTGATCCCCTGATGTCCTTCTCCGTCTCCCAGGCCCTCTGATTTGCTCTCTGTTTTCACTTGGACAGGGCTTCTCTTTTCCCAGGGGGGGAACCCTGGGTGGCGGGATCCACACCGCATTTGCCGTCTGCAGGGATCTCAGAACACTGGCTATGCATTAGCCTTTCCCGGTGGCCTCACAGCGTCTGAGAAACACACCGAGAGCAGTCGCCGAGCTCGCCCACCTGCTTTGGGTTCTGGATCCACCAGCTCTTTTTACCCCTACTTAGAGGGCAAAATGTTACCTGTGAGAGCTGCTCCAAGGAGGAGCAGCTGTCAGATCTCAAAATGATTTCAAACACTTCTCTGCAAAAAGACAATAGAGCGTCCTTGGCCTTGCTGTGCCCAGATCCATGCCCAGCCCCAGGAGGAGGCGGTATTTCACCCTTGGACCCTCTGTGCCCTCTGTGGTCCTTGCGCCGGGACACAAGCAGCCACCGTAGGGGCACACGCTCTGGAGTCGCTTTTCTCGGCGCACATCTTCACCTCCCAGGCAGGTCCTGTGACCCAAGAAGCTCCCAGGTGTTGCTGGTTTTGGTGGGCACAGAATCCGCGTGCTTTCATTGTTCCTCCCACTTGGAGACTGTTTCCTCTGGAAGGAACGCTCAGGGTCCGCTGTCTGCTTCTCTCCAGTGCTGTCATTCTGCAATGTTCTAGTCCAAGAAATCAGAAACTGTCTTTTTGTTCCAAAAGAGTCAGGATTCTCCCGCTTCCTAGGAAGCAGATGAGGCCGAGAGGGCTTGCTACTCGGGAGGAACGCGCAGCCCTGCTGGCTTGGGGCCGTCCAGACCCCTGACAGGAGCCCCAGCCACGTGCCTCTAGGCCTCTGGACTTTCTTTCCACGCAATTAGAACAAACCGCATTTCCACCCCAGGGTGGCATTCCTTCTGCTGGTGTTTTTATTGTTTACTTGAAATTTTACTTGAAGGACGAATGCTCAATACTATGGAGTTCCAAGTTGTTATTTGGCATTTTCTTCTTTATTTTTTTTCATAGTCTAAGTGATATTTCTATCTGAGCATTCTCATAGAAATTCAAAAATATTAATTAAATTGGACTTACAACATGGAATACATAAGATTTATCCACAGATAACATTTAATATTTCCCAGATCTTTCGTCCCTCTGCATATTTTCATCCATTTTAACTTGTAACTATAGAAAATAATAAAGAGGTTAAATGCAAAGTTTCATGGAAAATCCTCAGAGGTAAGAAACAATTTTAAGAAGTATCAGGATTTGATTTATGCACACACATGCATTAATATATACCTTGATTGATATACACTTTTGTATCTGTGATTTTTATTTTTTAGACCTTAATAGTATCTCTAAGAAGAAAGGAGAACTGTCAGCCTAATAAAGTTTAAGGAACTTGCACAGGCTCATATCTATAGTTGGTGGCAGAGCTGTAATTTAGACCCTGATCTGTGTAATTCCAAAGTTCAGCTTTGTAAACAAATAGACAATACCCGTTTTTATTGCCAGTAACACCATCACTATCACTAAACTGATAGCAGTGCTCCCACGGTTGTTAGGTTGTTAGGCAGTCATAGCTTCTGCCACTTCGGGAAAGTAGTATTACTTGGCTTCATGAATGTCAACATTTCATTACCTTTGAGGCTTACCTTCCCCACTGTAACACCCTGGGAGGAATTTGTTTGCAGTGGTGGTTCACCAGACTTGTATTCCTCTGAACTAACAAGGTGACGTTGTCGTGGCAAAAGTTTAAGAGCAGAATCTAATTTCTGATTGAGTTTGTCTTTTGCATGACTTTTTAAAAAAAATGTTTTATGTATTTGGAAGGCAGAATGACAGAGAAAGTAGAAGAGACGTACGTAGAGAGAGGGGGAGACAGACATACACACACACTCACACTCACACACACATGCCCTTACTCTAGTTCACTCCCCAAATGACCACAACAGCCAGGTTGTGGTTGCCAGGACCCAGGAACTCCATCCTGACTCCTACATGGGTGGCAGGAGTCCAGGCCCTTGGTCCATCGTCCACTGCCTCCCCAGAAGCATAGTGGGACGCTGGATCAGAAGGGGAGCACCAGGACTGGGACTGGTGTGCTGATATCTGATGCTGGCGTCACAAGTGGTGGCTTAACCTGCTGTGCCACAGTGCTGGCCTGGTAAGTTATTTTTAACAGAAGATTTTTATTTAGCTCTAAAACATTTAAAAATAATGTGGAAATTTGGCAAACTGAGCATTTGTCTCATATAAATGGAGAGGCATCTTTGATTGTAAAAGCTGGCAAGTGTGACCAGAAAAAGACAGGCTCAATAGAGATTGCAAATTACAGCAAACATCAACACTTCATCACCAATACAATACAAAACACTAATGAATTTTAGCTTATTTGGCAAATAGTTGATATGGTTAGCTAAGATCTTGTTGTCATTTAATGTCTACGTTTTATCTCCTACCCTCCTCTTCCCCACTCTGTATCCCACATGGACGTGCAATCGCGCACATAGATTCACAGATGCCACCTTTTCTATTATGGCCATATATGTATATATTAATATCTTATTTGGAGACTGGGCACTCAATTTGAGGTTAAGTAATCCCCAGAGCTATCTACTTCTGTTCATTGAGTTAGTCTCTTAAACCTCTATTAAATTAAATTTACTTAGTGATCAGTGTCAGGGCAGTGCAATTAATAACGATCCTGAGTATTAACCTAAGCTACTAAGGGGACAAAATCTGAGAATCTGATGATTTGCAGGTCTGCTAATCCTAACGCGCTCTTTGCAATTATAAGCAGCAAATTTTTTTTGAAACAAGGGAGCTAAAAAAAGATTTCCCAAGTCAGCCTTACGTATAAAAGCATGTTTCCCTAGAAACCAGGGGGGAAAACATGCACAGAAATATGGATGGCTTAGAGTGTCTCTTCTCCACTGGGGGAACTGGGGGTTTTGTTGCACTCAAGCAATTCCAGGTCTAGATTTCATAACGCGTTCATTCCCCGCTTGTCTCCTGAGGGTAGAGAGCCATTGGGATAGGTTGCTAACACAATTTCTATTTTTGGCCCACTCCAAGCTATGCTTTTTTAGCATCACTATAAATTTTGAGATCTTTGGATTCTT